GTTTCTGCAGCCCAAGCTGGGCTGCTGGGCAGCTCTCGTGGGGTGCACCACACTCACCCTGCCTGCTAGATCTCTTGGGGACCTAGTTCCAGAGTAGGGGAGCCGGGCTCTACTGAGGTAAAGCTGAGTGGGCACAGCAGGGCGGTGGAGCTGAATCTTGGGATCGCCGCCGATGGCGCTAGGGCCCTCGCTGTTGGCAAGCTAATCCACAGCTGTGGCCTTTGGGGCTTCTGGGAGCTTCTTCGTTCTGCCTCTCCTGGGGATCAGAGGTAGGGGCTGGACAGTGGCAGCCATATTGGCTTTTGGGGGGACAGACTAGGGTCTCTGGATCAGAGTCGCAGGAGCCTCATAACCCCATAGCTAGCCGGAAGTGTGGCTGTGCAGTACGTGTCAGAGCATTACTGAGGACCAAAATTCAGGCACCCCTCTGTGCGTGGTGGGCCGGAATTCAAAGCTAACAAACAATAGTAGTTGTGCAGGCCTTGCTGAGCACTTCCTGTGAGCTGCAGTGGCTCCGTGGTCCATGTACCGCATTCTCACCTAATCCAGCATCTGTAAAACCTGGGGAGGCACAGCAGCCAGGTTGGGGGTGTGGTATGAATCATTTTCCTCAGCGGGGCTCCGGCCTTTGGTCCCCGAAGGCGAAGGCGCACCTTCCCTTCCTCCTCAGTACTCCTGGCCACAGAGAGGAGGCCCAGGACAGGTTCCTACAGAACTGTCTACTTTGTGACTTACTATCAGGCTGGGGTGGGGGGTGGGGGTGGGATCAGTGTACAGTGTTCGGTTGGGTGAGGCCCTGGGTTCCATCCCCATGACCTCAAAATCAAATCACAAGAAAGCACGCCAAGCTGGGTAAGGCTCTAAGGCAGCTGACCCCCGTGCCCTCCCCTTCTGACAGCTGAGGAAGCAGGCTCACAGAGGTGACCGCACAAGGATGGGTAGACCTAGGCCCAAGGTGCTCCCTGTACTGGGTGTGGCAGTCCCCGGGGGCTGCCAGGCAAGCTGGGTGTGTGGGGAGGGGGAGGGGTGGGACCAAGGCCCCCCTCTGGCCCCAGTCACCTTCCCACACTCTTGGCAGGGCCTGGCTGGACTTTAGTATCAGGAAGGCCTGAGTGCCCTGCAGATTGCTGTTCATCCCTGCCCTTCTCCTCCTCCTCTCAGGCCCAGCCAGATGTTTTTAAAATGTCTTAATTCAATCCAGTTACTTGCTGGCTCTGAGACCATTAGTAGCTCCCTACTTCCTCTGGAACTGAGTCCAAAATCTTGAGCCTGGCCTTTTAGGCCTGCCCAGCCTGGCCCTGGCTGACCCCACGGTCTTCTCCTTCCTGCATCTCCCCTCAAGTATGACGGTCACCTACCAGTCTTCAACTGTGCTCCCCGCCACAGCCAGCCACATAGGACACCTCCTGCAGGAAGCCCTACCTGACTGATCCATGTGAAATTAGACTTCTTGCCCCCTCCCTCCAGCACTTTGGCAGGCCTCACTTTCAGTGTCTGGTTTACTCAGTCCCTCCTCATTCCCCCTCCTCTGGCTCCTGTGGCATTGAATCTGACGTTCATTAGCTCACCTATACACTGCTCCCTTTAATTTATTATTATTATCATCATTATTATTATTATTTTATGGTTTCTGGAGACAGGAGTTTCTCTGTGTAGCTCTGGCTGTCTTGGAACTCACTCTGTAGACCAAGCTGGCCTTGAACTCAGAGATCTGCCTACTTCTCCCAAGTGCTGAAATTAAAGGCATGCTCCTCCACCACCTGGCTGTTTAATTATTTTTTTAAGTGTGTGTGTGTGTGTGTGTGTGTGTGCGTGCGCGCGTGCGCACCATGGAATGTATGTGGAGTTCAGAAGACACCTTTGTGGAGCTGGCTCTCTGCCCACATTTACATGGCTTCCAGAAATTGAACGCAGGTCGGCAGGCTCACTTAACAAGTGCCCTCACCCTTTGAGTTATCTTGTAGGCGTTTGCTTTGTTGTTTGGAGGCAGGGTCTGACTCTAGCTCAGGCTGACCTGGAGCTTACTCCGGAGCCCAGTCTGGCCTAGAATTCATGGCAATCTTTTTGAGTACTTGAATTATAGCTGTGAGCCACAATACCCCATTAACCCATTTTATAGAGGAGAAAACTGAGACCAAGGGTTCAGTCACCTGGCCAAGGTCCCCCAGCGTTCTGATGTAGTGCCGGAGACATGTCAGGTCCCTGCCTTGGGGTCCTTTCCTATACCATTTTCACCTTCTGTCACTGTGGTGGGGTAGCGGCTGGGCTGGCATTCTCTGAGATCTTGTTACTTGGGTTGTCCTGTGTGGGGTATTAAGTGACGGTCTTTTTAGTCTCTGAAGTGGCCTAGTATTCTTGGAGGCTCCATTTTACAGGTAGGAAAACTGAGGCCAAGAACAGGAAGGGAAGCAGGAAGGCAGAGCCCCAACCCTGCGGCGACTTCCTGTGCCTGTGCGGAGGTCTGTGGTTATTGATTCCTAGTGGGGACCAAGTCCTGTCCTGCCGGCCTGAGATCAAGCGCCTGCCTTGGCTGGGCATCCTAGGATGAAGCTGAGGATGCTGGGGCGACACTGTGCCCAGGAGCAGGGCAGGACCTGGACCCTGCCCCCACGGCAGCTGTCTCCCGGGCCGATGGACTTCCAGACAGACAGGGCTTGTGAGAGCCGGGGGCCTTCAAGGAGAGCACTGCTCCTGCCAGCAGCTGCTCAAAGGGCCCTTTGTGGCCAAAGGGCTGGCCCCGGGCAGCTGCCAGGCCAGAGGCACAGACAGCTCAGCCTTTGTGCCAGCATGTTGCCCCTGCCCTGACCCAAGAGGTCAACAGGACGTGAGCCCTTATCTGTGGGAGGCTGGGGACCTCCTGCCCTGGATCTGCCCTAGGTCTGGGACGGGTGTGCTCTGAGTTACCAGGCAGGGACCCAGGAGCACCTCGTTCACAGATCCGGTCATGGAGGCAGAGTCCAGACTTGGCAGGGGAGGGGATGGGGGCCATACGGCGGGTGGAATGGTAACGACCGCGGTAACTGTGGGGTGAAGGTAAGGATGGGCTTGCTGCTGTGCCAGGGTGCTGCTTCCCGTGTGGCTCTGGAAGGCGGTTTATGCTGGTTTTTTTTCCCTGATTCCCCCAGAGCAGCCCTGACAGTTGGATGCTGCCCCTCTGCTCATTTGGAGATGAGAAAACTGAGAGCCCTCAGGTTAGGAAGCTCACCCAGCTCATAGGACCCCAAGGCTGAAGCCTGAACCTGGGTCCCTATTCCTTGGTTTTTCGAGACAGGGTTTCTCTGTGTAGCTATGGCTGGCCTGGAACTAGTTCTGTGGGCCAGGCTGGCCTTGAACTCACAGAGATCCTCCTGTCTCTGCCGCCATAGTGCTGGGATTAAAGGTGTGCGCCACCACCGCCCGGCCTGGGTCTTGAACTGCACCCCCTCATTTTTTTGAGACAGGGTCTCATGTGTCCTAGAATTTGAACTTCTGATGCTCCTGTTCAGGAATGGGTCCGGGTGTCTGTCTCCCTGTCTGAAATATGTGAGTGGTGGGCAGATTGTGTGTTGAGCCTTCGGGGTTGTGGTATCTTGTCTGAACTTTGTGAGTGAGGCACTGGGTGGGGGATGGAGGGAATTATGGAGTCCCAGGGAGCCTAGGGAAGACTGAGGACTCAGCCTCCTCCAGGGTACTCTTGGAAGGGCCTTCAGAACCCACTGTGTAGTCAGCGGCTGGATAGACAGGGGCTGGCCTAGGACTCCCAAGGCCTTCAGGGTAGAATTTGGGCAGGCTAATGCCAGAGTAGTTTGGGACTCATAGGGGCAGACAAGACAGTTTAGGGGCCTGGTGTATGGTGTGCAGCAAACAAGCTTGCCTTCTTACCCTGACCAGGATCAGTTTCCCCATCTATGAAATAAGTGCTGCGCTTGCATGAGACCCACGGGTGAAGTCCTCCGCAGAAAAGGCCGTGGCCTGGCTGAACTGTGCCCTAGCTCTCTCCCTGCAGGCCCCTCGTCTCTTCCGCAGGAGACCCCACACTCTGAGGGAAGAGGCCAAACCCCCCTCACGATGCTTGGGCGGAGAACCCCTCCCAGCCTGCCCAGTCTGGATGCCGTATTATACATAGTTAATGGTACTGACGTGAATAGTGAGCGGATGCCGTATTATACATAGTTAATGGTACTGACGTGAATAGTGAGCAGCCTCTTACACTGAGTGTAGACGAGGGGGCCTGCTCCTTCTGGGGCTCCTCCTGAAGGTGGGGAGGTGAGCTCTTGGGCAGAGAGGTGCAGGCTCTGGGGCCCCTTCCCACCCTGGCACTGGGCCTCTTCTCTTCCTTCTCGGATTCCAACCTCAGGAGGTGGGTGAAGACTGTCAACTCGCTTTCAGCCGCAGGGACCTGAGGACTTGGCCACTAAGAGGACCGGTTGGGGCCCAGATCTGGCGTCCGGATCTAGTGTTCTCCCTGGCCTTTGTGGGTGTGTTCAGGCCTCTGATGGGCAGCTGTGCAAACTCAGCACAGGATTCTGCTCCGTGTGCCCGATGTGTGTGGGCCTGGGTGGATGGGCATCATGCAGCCTTCATGTGACAGTAGTGACTACCCAGTGCCTGGATTCCAGCCCTGGCCCTTCCTCTTCCTGACTGGATCAGTGCTCCTGTTCCCGTGATCACCTGGTGTGGACCTGGCTGAGGAGGGCCACGCAGTGTTGATCATTATCCAGGCTGGATGTTTCCTAACTGCATTCCATGCCCCACATGATGCTAGGTTCTGCTAGATCAGCCCCTGAGGGCTCTGATGGGAAACACAGGTTCCTGTGGAGAGGCAGGCCGGGTCCTGACCCAAGGCCCACCCTCCGAGTCCTGGGGCCTCTATACCCACGGCCGGCCGGCCGCGCTTTACAGAGGTTCCACGGCGGTTTCCTCACTGGCAGCCTGCAGCTGCAGTGATCGCAGCCCTGTGGCCCCGCCCTCCCCAGGGCAGCGGCTGATGGAGTCTCATCAGCGCAGGGCGGGCCCTTGCTGGAACCTCTCCTGGGTGGCAGAGCTGTCGAGCTGGCCGACAGCTGCTTGTGCAGAGACAAAATCTGCCGGGGTCTGACAGGCGGCCTTGCGCCTCGGCGTGGGCTCAGCATGGAGAAGCCGCAGGCTGACAGTGGAGTCCTGGCCCAGGCCACTCACAGCAGGGGCCGGACTGCCCAAGGCTGCTCCATCAGATAGGCCAGCCGCGGGCTCAGGCCCTTGGGGTGCCCTCTGACTTCTGTCCAGATCACCCCCAAGGGGAGCCGGCTGAGCTCCTCTGGATACTGTAAGTCACCCTATCTCAACTTGAGGTCTAGTCTTTCCCCTTTGGGGGGCCGTGAGAGAGGCAGAGGGACCACTAGTGGTCCCTGGGCACTGTGTGGACTCTTTCAACCACTGCCACTTATTGGGGAAGCTGTCCGGGTCAGAGAAGGGGGCTGCAGTTGGGGTGACATTTAGGGGAGGAAGAAGGTCTCTACGGCTACAGATCTCTTAGAGGAACACCCCCCCACCCCCCACTCCCTTTTTTCCCCTGAGGGTGGACTCAGAGCAGTGACTCCATGGCCTCAGGTCACAGTCTCTCTCTTTCTGTCTGTCTCTCTTTTCTCATGGAGTCCCAGGCTGGCCTTGACCTTAACAGCAGAAGGATAGCCTTGAACTCTGATCCTTTAGCCTCTACCTTCCAAATGTTAGGATTACAAGTGCCCAGCTCAGAGCCTCGGTTTTAAATTGGGAATGCTTAGTTCTCTTGAAAGTGGACAGAAAGCTCAAGGGAGTGCTGTCTAGAAAAGAAGCTGAGCTGAGTCTTTGTAAAGGCTTGAGGCATTGTGAGAATGATTCTCGGTGACAGTAGGAAAAGTTCAGTTGACGGCAGGCTTAGCCTTTTTGGGCCTGGCAGAATGGGCCGAATGAGAATGGTACACAAGCCCATACTTCTTAGCCATCACCCTTGGCAGGCATGACTAATCAATCCCAGCTCTGTCTCCTGCTGAGCCTGGAAGGCTCTACTTGGAAAGGGAATGCGCTTGATATCCCTGGCAGGTATTTTGTGTATGGGGAACTGGGAGAGGGCAAGCTTGCCACAGGAACTTCCAGCTCCTGGGGTAGAGCTGAGATGGGAGCTCAGTTCTTTTGACTCCAGAGATAATGGAAGCTCGGGGTCCGAAGGTCCTTCTCTGCTCCCCGTGGGGTCCTGCTACAGCACCAGCAGTTTTCCTACTGGAGCTTACCACAGCTCAGCCCAGCTGCCTGCCAGACAGGCACCGTGAGGCTAGCCCTGGCTCCCTACGGCAGTTGGCAGTCCCTCCTGGCCTGTTAAGTGTTATTGGCTGCAACCTGCCTGTTCTGGGTTCCGTTACTGTGCTTTTGTTCTGGGCTCCTAACTGGAGCTGAGCAGTTGCTGCAGGGAGTCAAGGGGGGCTCCCAAGACACCAGGCGCTGGGGCTGGGCTTGTGGGCCCAGGAGGGTGTGGTAGGCCAGGAGTGGGTGCCACGCACCTATTCAACTCTGGCTTCTTCATTCAGTCTGATGCTCATCAAGAAGGAGATCTGCTGGCTTTGAGGTTACCCTTTTAATTAAGCCAATTAATTAGTGCCTTTAATGAAGCAGATTACCCGGGCCAGACTCTGCAGACGGGGTGGGAGTGAGGAGCTGCAGCACTTGTGCTTTCTTGAAGGTCTGGGTTGGGAGGCAGCTGCTAGGCCAAGCCTTCCTTGGAGTGTTTGAAGCACAGCGTCAGATTGGCCAGGGATGGCCGTATCCCCCATGGAGTGTGGCCAGGAACCCAGGCCTGGGTTGGGGAGTCGAGGGGAGACTGGGGCTGCAGGGTTAAGTGCAGCCCCAACACTTTGGCTCAAATGCCTGGAGCTGGAGCTGGGAGCAAGAGGGAGCTGGGAACTCTATACAGCAGCTTGCTCAGTGGGGTCCTCGGCAGGAGCAACCGCCTAGGGAAGTGAGGGCCTCTTGTCCTTGCTCTGGGGCGTCTAGGCCCTGGCTACTTCCAGCCCCCAGGGACAGAGGCCTGTGACCCTGTGGCCAAGGCAACCGGAGCCCCTTGCCTGCCAGTAGAGGAGAGGAGTTTTGTTCAAGGTCACCTGGGTTCTGTGGCGGAGCTGAGATACAGGACTGTGTTCCTATCTCTGTTCCCTTCCACCCACCTCTGCGGGCACAGTCGGCTTCCCTCCAGCAGAACGCCCAGCATTCCCTCTGTGCCAGGCACTCCGTGGGGCACCCTGCTCTGTGGGCTGAGGAGCACCCTGCTCTGTGGGCCCGAGGAGCACCCTGCTCTGTGGGTCTGAGGAGCACCCTGCTCTGTGGGCCTGAGGAGCACCCTGCTCCGTGGGTCTGAGCCCTGGTGGACTGTTCTCCAGTGAGTTCAGGTTTGGGAAGGGAGGCCTGCTTTCTAGAGGTAAAAATCAGTGCCTGTGAACGGGGATAGGAAACCCAGCTCCTCCATCCTTCTGAGTCTTCCCACAAGGACAGGGGAGCCCACGACTAGCCAGGGCCAGGAAGGGGATGCCGCTGCTGAAGGAGGGACCGTGGGCCGGGAAAGAAGGCCACCTTACCTCCTCAGAGATGTCTTTATGTCTCCCAGGGGGGCAGAGGACAGATCAGAGCCCGCTCCGCTCCGGGATGCACTAAGCCGTGGCAGAGACAGTTGGCTCAAGCCATGACAGGAGAGATTTAGGTTAGACAGAGGAGGAACTGCCTGACAAGGAGGATTATTAACAAGTTTGCGAAGGCAGGATGCGTCCCTCCCCCAGGACAGCAAGCGCTGGCCTGCGCCGACGAGGCGCTGGGCTCTCTGAAACACAAGTTCTATAAATCCAAGCTGCGCTTCCAGTAAATATCAACAGGGTGGGGGTGGGGCTCCCCGGAACATGCTGTCAGCAGCCCTCACCCCTTTTAATCTCCTCAGTGCTTAAGGCGCGTGGCAGGATGCAGTCAGCTGGTGGGCCCTGTCTACACCAGTGCCAGCCCCAGTTTCTGGGCCTCAGTTTCCTCGTGTGTTAAATGGGTCCAGCATTCCTTGGGGAGAGAGAATCGCGCCTGCCGACTCTCAGAGAAGGCCAGCCCCTCTCTCTTGATGCCACTCTGAACTCTTGTTCCTTGCTTGTCACCTGCGCCTCCCTGCCTTTGTCACCCATCTTCTGTCCCCTTAGGTGGCTGCCACCTTGGGTGGCACTGCCTAGCCCGTTTCTAGGGGCCTTCTAGTATCGCCTGTTAAAAGAGGTGATAGCCCTTCCTCACCTGAAGACGTTGTTTAGTGGGAGACTTTGCTTATCACGTGCCAGCCGTGACTCTGCACACCCCGAAAAATAACCAGCCACACGGAATGCCCCGGTCCCCTCTTCCCCTTTCGGCCCCTGTGCTCACCCTTCCTCGAGGGAGGCGTCCCTGCTTCCCCCGGCCAGGGCCAGCGTCACACGGACCAGTGTGTTCTGAGTGCAGCCCCGTCTGACTGAGGCCCCCTCAGGGGCAGTGTGTGTGGGTGGGGGGTGAAGGGTAGCTGGCAGCTCTGCCTTTGATTTACCTTGAGAGGGACGCAGCAGGGTGGGTGGGATAAGTGCCAGTCACTCTGGGACATCTCTTTAAATACCAGCTGGAAGCAGCTGGGTTCTGGGTGGGTGGAGTTGCCCTTCATCAAGCAGGCACCCCCCACACACTCACACATTCGGGCATGTTGCACAGGTCAGGAGTCTGGTGAGTGGGAGAGGGACAGCTTCTGGCTCAGCAGCTCCGGGCCCCATGGGGCTAAGGGGAGCGGGGGCTAGGGCCCTGGGCATGTGAAATTTTGGCTGTCCATTGTCTCCTTCACCCTCACGAGGCAGTGAGCTCTGCAAAAGCCTCCTCCCTGGCTTCCATTCTCAAGGCCTGGCTCATTAAACTATCAGCACCCATCTGTATGTGGATGGACACATGGACAGATGATGGTCACAGATGGAGCGCCAGTTGGATGCCTGGCTCCTCCACACTGCTTCCATTTCCCTTGGGCAGAGAGAGAACGGGGATGCTCAGGCCTCCGTGGAATACAGCTCTCAGTACCGGTCCTGGCTAGTAGCTGTTGAGTATGCCGCTGTCCCCCAGGGTCACTAAAGCAGACTGGCATAGCAGGGTGGGACCAAGGCCATGCTGGCATTTGCTAAAAGCTGTGCATGCAGGGCCCTCTGGGGCTCTGATGAGGGATCTGCTGTCAGACCTCCGGCCCAGGCCTCTGGTCCCCAGAGTGTCTCTGGAACTGGAGCACCATTTGTCGGATTGGTGCTGGCTGCGGGACGGGTTGGCAGGGAGCTGAGAGTGGGATCCAGACTAAGTCAGCCCCTGCTGCAATATGGGGCTGGGGGGTTGGGTCTCAGCACATGCTGCTCCCTTGTCACTGAGGCCGTTGGGGCAAACCAGCCGGGTCCCCACCTGCCTGGGCCTCTCCCCTGAGCTCCACGGCCCCGCCCCGCAGCCTCTTGCCCCTCTAGGATTCTTTGCTGTACTGACAGGGAGGGCCTCCCTTCTCCTGGAAATTCACACCCACGTCCTCGCCAGGCTGTCTGTGGGATAAGGCTGGTGAGGACTGGGAGCAGCTGTAGGAACAGGAGGCTCCGCTAGAGAGGGACAGAAGGATGGCTAGAGGGACAGAAGGATGGATAGACAGAGCCCAGTGCTCCATCTGGAGGTGGCAGCTCAGGGCCCAGGTGGGTGGCCAGTCCCATCCCTAACACACTCCAACCCCATGCCCCAGAGGGCCAGAGTCTGGGTGATCCCAGACAGCTCTGGTTGGCACTCACCAGGGACAGCTGAGAACCCAGAAGGGGTGCCGTGTCGATCCTGGGGCTCTGTGGGGTGGGGTGGGTAGTGTAAACTATGCACGCAAGTAAGGCGTCCCCCACAGTTTCCTCCACAGACTTAAGGCCCCAGGCTCTGGGCTGGTTGGTCTCTACCTGGCAGACATTCTGGAAGGACACTCCTTCTCACTCAGCCTAAGTCCAGCCTTTGACCTCTGTCCTGTGACCTTACAGGCCAGCTGTAACATGGCCACCCACAAATCTCCAAAGTGTGACTCTAGCATTTAAGCTTCAGATGGCTCCTGGTGGGGCTCTGAGCCACCGAATGGCTTGTTTTCTCTTGTGGTGCTAAGGATAGACCACTGAGACATACCCTCAATCCAAGGCTACCCTAGGCCTATAGCTGGTCTCTAGCTTATAGGGTTAGGAGAAAGGGGTAAGCTTGGCTGGGTGCTGAATTCAGGGGTGGGGACAGCAGTCTAAGAGCAGGTAAGAGGGCTGTGGGATGGCATTCCTCTTGTCTGCCCTGTGCATGCACAGTTCCTGCTTGGAGCAGCCACACCTGCCCAGGTAAAACGAAAACGCGTGGGAGTAAGTGGCATGGTGCCATGCTTATGTGGGACACAGAATGCCAGGCCGGTCCTGGCCCTCAGAAAGCCCTGGCTGGGAAGGGAGCTGGGCAACAAGAAGACATATCAGCACTCCATAAGCTGAACAGGTCACCGTGGCTCTTTGTACAGAGGAGGGAGGGGGGACTCCCGAGACCATCTGGCTCCATGCTCAGTCAGAACGCAAAGCCCAGGGCTTGTGTCTCCTGGGAAGTCAAGTTCAGAAAGAGTGGTTACAAGGTCTTCGGGCTCCACTCTGCCCTTCTGTCCCCATAAAGTAGTGTATGACAAAGATCAGGAGGACAGGGACCATGTTTTTTTTTTTTTTAGCACGTGTTCTGTACAGCTCAGCTAATTCTCACAATCCTATAGTCAGGTGGGTGCACCCCTCCTGTACAGATGTGGAAACCAGAGCATATATGGGAGAAATCACAGGATTTGAACTGACGGAGCCGACCCTAAATCACAGCACCGGCCAGTCTGGGCTGTAGCTCGGCACTGGCTACCACTCAGTTCCCGGCTCCCGTCCAGCCACACCCGAGGCCCAGCACTTCTGGGACTTGCGTCCCTTAGCCATCTGTGAGCCACCAAGTACCACACAGTGTAATCTTGTAATACTGGCTGCGTTATGTACAATTGAAAACCCATTACAGTCCTATTTTCCTAATATATGACACCCTATCGCAGCCCCCAGCGACTGCATTTCCCAGATAGATGCCGGAGTGTTGTCCACGCACAAAATTATTATCAGTCCTTTCTTTCAGCTGCTGGGAGAGCTGAGCAGGCATGTGAACAGGGTGACCTGTTCCTGCTGGCTTCAGAGGACACCTGTGGCTGCACACCTGGGAGGGGGCAGTGTCGGTCAAGCCTTCCCTGGAGAGTTGCCCCAGACCTCTGGAGGGGGGCAGCAGATGCCCCAACCTGGTGATACAGCGAGGGCACCGGGAAGGGTCAGCAGAGGAGCCGGCAGCTGCTTGGCGTAGCGGGCACGGTCCTGTAATTGGGCAGCCTGTTCCTAGATAAGGCCAGTGACACTGAGTAGCTTCCCGCTCCGTGCCGGCTGCGGCCGCTCATTTCCTGCACTCGCAGCCCACGATACCAATTACCCTGCCTCCCGCTTGCCAGCGGCAGCTTCTGGGGCAGCCAGATGAGTCCTCTGTCATCAGTGGGGCTTGGATCCTCTCTGGAGGGTGGGAGGATGCAGAGAAGACAGCTGGGGTGGGCAGGACCCACAATGGGGTGGCGGCCAGATAGCTGGGTGCAGCCAAGGTGAGGGTTATGTGTGGGCCCAAGCCTCCACCACCTAAAGAGGGGATTAGAGTTTGCTAAATGGGCTGAGGAGCTGGACTCGTGAACAGACCAACTGAGCCTCACCCAGCCTGGGCTTTTAGAACCCCCCTGGCCTGGCCCTCCACTGCCTTGCCCTGCTCCCCCCCCCCCCCCCCGTTCTGCACTGGGGGAAACAGGTTCGCAGTGTATGGCTGGTACTAAAAGGACAGGCTAGCTTGTGACTCTCACCTGTCCTGCTGTTCCAGAGCATAGATTGGGGGACAGGTAGCCTGGCATCTGCGGGTCATGGGAGATTCTGGTCAAGGGTGCTGCCTGGTGCAGAGGCATCTTACCAGTCTCAGCTCCGCTGAAGGTGGACAACTGTGTCCCCAACTTGGGAAGTATTGGGTTCTCATCCTGAAAGGGATGGGATGGAGCTGAGCAAGTGGGCTTTGTCCTGTCTGTAGGGGGTGGTGGTGGTGGATGGAGCTGCCCCAGGCTAGGAGGCTACACAGGGCAGGGTGGTCTCGCCTGCTTTGTGGGGGCATCCCAGGCCTTTCCACAGGCCAATCCTGAGTTCTCAGGGACCCGACACACTGGGGAAGTGAGCCTCGGACTTTGTGCAGAGTGGGCAGGAGCTCTGCCACCAGGCTACATTGCTGGCTGGGAACAGGTGACATCAAGGCTATGACCGTGGGTGCAGAGGGGGCCAGGTCATCCAGCCTCATCAGGCTGAGTCAAGCCAGGAGCCTCCCCACAAGTCCCCCGACCCCCCATGAAACAGGGTTTCTCTGTGTAATAGCCCTGCCTGTCCTGGAACTCACTTTGTAGACCAGGCTGGCCTCCAACTCACTGAGCTCCTCCTGCCTCTGCCTCCCGAGTGCTGGGATTAAAAGTCTGATTTTGTTGTTTATTTTGGGACACAAGACCTTATGTATAGCCCAGGTTGGTTTCAAACTTGCTATACAGCTAAGGCTTGTCTTGAACTCCAGATCCTCAGCCTCCCAAGTGTGGCAGTTATAGGCATGAATTACTATGCTCAGTTATTGGTGTGCTAGGGATCAAACTTAAGGGTCTTGTGCTAGGAAACTGGGACTGGAGAGATGGCCCAGTGGTCAAGAGCACTGGCTTTGCTGGGCGGTGGTGGCGCACGCCTTTAATCTCAACACTCAGAAGGCAGAAGCAGGCGGATCTCTGTGAGTTCGAGGCCAGCCTGGTCTACAGAGTGAGTTTTAGGACAGCCAAGGCTATACAGTGAAACCCTGTCTTTAAAAAAAAAAGCACTGACTTCTCTTCTAGAGGACACAGGTTCAATTCCTAGCACCTACATGGCAGCTCACAACTGTCTGTAACTCCAGTTCCAGGGAATCCGACACCTTCACAAAGACATACGTGCAGGCAAAACACCAAAACACATGAAATTAAATAAATAAATAAATAAATAAATAAATAAATAGTGCCGGGCAAGCACTGTACCAACTGAGCTACATTTCCAGCCCATCCCCTCAAATCTGGATCTATCCATCTCTAAAGGGTCTTAGATACTCATTTTGACGACCTCAGGGGGCTTCATAGGAGAAGCTCCTTTCCAGGTGCAAATTGGTTGCCATTGATTCAACTCGGAAGGGCCATTGATGCCAAGGGGTGGGGCCAGCTGTGTGGGACAGCGGCTCAGGGGCACAGGGGAAGATGTGTCTGGGGTACCCTGGGCACTGCATGCAGGAAAGGACAGTGCGGGAGGCTGGGGCTCCCTCCCACGGGGTGGGGGGGAGTTGGGTGGAGCAGAAACATCTCCCTAAGGGGCAACTAACAGACCAATTAAGCTGCCAATAAAAAATTTAATCAAGTAATAATGCACCTTACTTTGTTTAATTAGTGTTCTGTCAAGTGAATGAATATTTAAGGCTTGGGTGGTGGTGCCAACGTCTGCCCAGCGGGCAGAGGCTGGGCCCACATTTCAATCCACCTGACAGCTCCCCACTCACATTGATCGCTGCCACCACGGTCCAGGGCCCCAGAGCAGCACAGTGGATGCTTGTTCTACATGAGCCCACTTGAAGGAGTGGGGCAGGTCCTGTCCCTGCCTGTGCCTCAGTGTCCTTATCTGTAAAATGGGAGGAAGGACTTCAGCCCCAAAGCATGTTTTTCCTAGGAAGACGTCGCAATAGCTGGGTGTGGTAACCCCAGGACTTGGGAGGACGGAGGCAGGAGGATCAGGAGTTCAAGGTCATCTTCAGCTACAAATGTAGTTAGTTCAAGCACAGAGTGAGCTATTTAGAGCTTGCCTCAACACCTTTTGCCTCCAAAAGACCTCACAGTGATTGGAATTCTAGGACCTGAGTTGGGTATAGGAAGCATCTGGGGCCTGGGGAGCCTACAGTGCTTCCTGTATCCCCCAACTCCACACCCGCTCAGAATGCCTGGCACCTGACGGCTAATGCATGCCTGCCTGTGAGCTATACCCAGGATTCCCAGGGTGCTGGAAACTGGCTTCTCCAGACCGAGTGACCTGGGACAAGGGCTGCCTGCGTTTCCATTTAGTTCGTTTGTTTCTTTATTTGTTCGTTCATTCATTCACTCATTCATTCTACAACTTGGAGGCAGTGCTCTGGGTTTATCCCAAAAAAAATGCAACTCCTGTGTTGTGGCCCAGGCTCAACCTCAGAGTCCTACAGCTCCCAAATCTCCCTTTTCCCTCTAGGCAGGGCGTGGCCGCCGCCGCCCTAGGAGTCATTTGCATATTCATGACCTTGACAAGCATGCGCACTGCAGAGCCAGGCTCAAGGGTGGCCCGCCCCACCGCAGGACAGCGGCGTCTCTCCTTGCCGATCCTCCACCAGCCGCCGCCTCCCCTCACTTCAAAGAAGGGCCTGGCGTCCCCCATACACACAACCACCTGAGAGCCTCGCGCTGGAAGGACTTTGGTAATTATTTGTTTCAGCTGAGCTGTTTTCAGTCTAGGCTAGGCTGAGTCTTGTAATGAGTATGGATTTGCCGGTAAATAAGTCCCCCGCTTCTAACCCCTGTAATAAATGCATTTGGAGTAATCTGGCGATCACGCGGTGTAATTGCTGGCTGTCAGGGCAGATGGATGCTCCCGCGCTGACTTTACCGCTGTCTGCCCTTCCTTCACGCCGCGCCTCCACTGGGTCTCCAGCCCCTAGCCTAGAGGTGAGGGGGCCTGTGCCTGGGGACAGGAGTGGGCCTGGCCTGCTTGCACCTCAGGGGTCCTTCCTGCACCAAGCATGGGCTTTCAGAGACACCCGCCTGTGACCCATAGTGCCCTCAGCCTCTCTGTAAGGCATCACCAGAGCCTGGTCCAAAATGCAGGGAGATGTGGCCGAGGTGGTAGGGCACTTGCCTAGCATGCCCAAAGCCCTGGGCTCCATTCCCAGCACCACATATAACCGGCATGGTGGTGCACACACCTCCAATCTCAGCACCAGGGAAGTGCAGGCCGGAAGATCAGAAGTCCAGTGTCACCCTCAGGCTACACATACTGAGTTCAGTGCCAGCGTGAGATACAGTGAGATCCTGTCTAGAAACAAAAACAAACCAAGCAGGGCCCTGGTGGGCGCTGCCTCTGTTCTCGAGACTGGATTATCTGTGGCTGGGGCTCAAAATCTGCATTCTACTTGATTTATTTATTTTGCATTTTATTTTTAAATTAAAATTGTTTGTATATATATATATGTGTGTAGGCCCATCACTTCGTGCAGAGGTCAGAGGGCACTTTCAAGAGTTGGTTCTCTCCTTCTACCCTGGTCAGGCTTTTACAGCAAGTGCCTTTACCCACTGATCAGAGTCTGCATTTTAAAACACCCCCCAACCAAGTGTGAGGGTGCAGACCTGTGACCCCAGTACTCCAGAGCAGGAGGATGGGGCAAGTTTGAGGCTAGCCTGATTTACATAGTGAATTCCAGACTACTAGGGCCTCAGAGAGAAACCCTGTCTTAAAAAACACCCACTAACCAGCCGATCAACCCAAACTGCCGATGTCTCCAGGGAACTTCTGGAAGCACCAAGGTTCAGGAGAATAAGTCAGATTCTCTTGGACTGGACGTGTGAACTCCCCCCCCCCCACACACACACTCACCCCATCTTTCTCTCCCACATATATTGGCTGCTTTCCCAAACAAATCTGGCTGTGTTCATTCCTTTGAGATACTCTCCGATCTCTGGTCTGGTCTGCTTTTATCACCCCCCACACACCCCTTTTCGAGGGGATGGCCGCTTGGCTGTGTGCTGGCGGCTCCTGCGCTATGATGCTCTCTAGACCTCACTGAGCAGAGGTTCCATGGCGGCTGCCTTTCCCTCACTTCTTGGAATAGCCCCCGAGCTTTGTTTTGCATAATGCCCAGCACAGGGAAGTGGCTTAGTGAACACAAGGTGTGTGAATTAGTGGGTGAGTGGTAGGGGAGCCCGGGGTGTGTGCTGGCTGGGGCTTGCTTTGTTCCCAGGTCCTCCCACGTTGAGGGTTTTATATCTGTCCACACCCTGGGATTAACTGAGCAGGCTGACTGTGAGGGCAGGATTGAATAGGGCAACCATTGCATCTCATGGGATTCAGTGAAACGTGACAGATCTTAGCAGGTCAGGCCCAGCCTGCCCCTGCCCTCTGGCACCCACACCGAGGAGAGGCAGAGAGCAGCAGGGTGCAGGGACTGCCCTGGATGCTGCAGAAAGAACCACAGATGGGACAGGACAGAGCCTGTCCCTGTACTCTGGTGAAGCCTCTCGGAAAGTAACTGCTCTTTGTCATCCACCTTCTGGGGCCTGCCCAAACCAAGGCTCTACCACAAAGTAGGCCAGCAGGGCCACCCCCAACCTGCCTCAGTCTCCCAGGCCAGCCTTTCCCAACCCTGGCTCTGCCTGGTTCTTCTGTACTCCAGCCTGATGCAGGGCTGGGACATTCGATGTGCCAGGGACTGGGCTCTGGCACCATCTCTCAGCTGTGAGGATTTCAGGGAGGCCACTGGAGGCAGCGGCTAGCTGGTAGACGCTTATCTCCGGAGAGCCTTTAAGGGGCCACCACAACTCTGTGTGCCCTTGGGCTGCTCACTTAACCTCTCTGGGCCTCCTTTTCTCGGCTGAACCACTGGGGAGCAGTGTAAGTAAGTGTCCCTCCTAGGAGTTAACAGGGGAGGTCACCAGGACAGGTGGGGCGGCTCCACGCACCCCACCCCTCAAAACAGTGGGGGCTGGGGCTGCACAGGAGGCAGGGCGGGGACTTCTGAGTGAATGACCTTGTGCTTTTTCTTTTTCTTTTTCTTTTTCTTCTTGGTTTTCCGAGACAGGGTTTCTCTGTGTAGCTTTGGTGCCTGTCCTGGAACTCACTCTCTAGACCAGGCTGGCCTCGAACTCAGAGATCCGCCTGGCTCTGCCTCCTGATTGCTGGGATTAAAGGCGTGCACCACCACCACCACCACCACCACCACCACCACCACCACCACCACCA